AGCAATTGGTTGGATGTCATTTTCACTGTAAATCTAGAAAAAACTACATGCGAACCTGAACCTTTTACTTCCACAGAGAAAAGAGAAAGACCTTCTAAAACGTACGAAGACAGTTCAGAGAATACAAATAAACGGAAAAACAAGGGATTGCTTGATATCTGTGGACTTGATTTCATACTGAACTCATACGTACAGGGTTTAAGGTCACATGGTAAAGTAGATGAAGCATTCATCGTTGATATTTTACGAGCATTGCCGGCAGAAAAAAGTAAAATGCGCAATAATAATCTTCTTAATAAACTGGCATATATAACAGCATATTCAAAAGATGAAACTCTTAGCATTTTTATAGAATTGGATCTGAACAAGGCACAGTATGAAAATATGAGGAGTTGTTTGATAGCAAAGAATTGCTTATTGTTTCCATCATACAAGTTGACGCCAAAATCATGTATAGAAATTACTGACGGTAAAACATAAATCAAACTGCAAGATCTTTTGGATCACATTTCAGCCAGACTCCTAAAAATTAATGATGTTTATAAGGTTGGTTCAATCCACTTAATGTTACATTCCAAATGGGGTTGTGATGGATCAAGTGGACAAAGCGAATACAAGCAAGTCCTGCCTGAAGAGAGTGATATAATTTCCGATTCAAATTTGTTTATTTCATCATTAGTGCCCCTGAGACTTATTGATATGAATACAAATGAAGTTTTATGGAATAATCCTACTCCCTCATCAGTACGATTTTGCCGACCAATCTTAATAAAATTTTCAAAGGAAACACCTGAGAAGACAACAAGGGTAGTCGACGAGATTAATGCTCAAATTTTAGCTTAATTCTTCCCTTATCAATCATAGTGGCGTAGGTATTGAAATAAAACACACGTTATACTTAACTATGATTGACGGCAAAGTGGCTCAAGTTTTGTCAGAAACTTCGTCAAGTGCTGTATGTACCATTTGCGGTGCAAAACCTACAGAGATGAACAATTTAGAAAAAGTACAAAACAAACCAGTCGATGAAACTTCCTATCAATATGGCCTTTCAATTTTGCATTGTTGGATCAGATTTATGGAACTTATTTTACATTTACCTTACTATCTAGGTTTTGAAAATTGGTCTGCCACAACAACAGAAAATAAAGATTTAAAAAAGCAAAAGAAGGCTTATGCACAAAGAAGGTTCAGAGAAGAACTTGAATTAAATATAGATAAACCGAAGCAAGTTAGTGACAACACTAATAACGGCAATACAGCCAGCAGATTTTTCCAAAATTATCATTGTACATCAGAAATGACTAGTATAGATGAGGAATTAATAAAACGGTTTTATGTTATACTTCAGGTCATGTCAAGCGGTAGAGGTATTGATGCCATGAAATTTGGTCAGTATACATTCGATACAACACAGCTGTATGTTAATAAATATAAATGGTATTACATGCCATCTTCCGTGCACAAGGTGTTAATTCATGGTGAAAATGTGATACGTCACTTTTCTGTCTTGCCTCTTGAGCAACTTTTAGAAGATGCTCAAGAGTCACGGAACAAAGGCTGGCCTAGCCAGATAAAAATTCTTGAAGAAAAGCAGTATGTCATGTGTATGGGATGTAGAAGACTTGCGAATGTTAACAAAATCATCATGTGATTTAAAATATCATCAGAAATGTGAATCAATAGCATACAAAGATAATTTTGAATTAGATGATAAATCTGGCTTTGTATGTGAGAAGTGTTTTATATTAGATGTTAGCGATTCAAATGCCACTAATGATTCTGAATTAGAACGGTATGCAAAATATTGCGATGCCAAAATAAAATTAATAATTCATTATTTGATGTTGAAGTTGCTTTATAAAAGAAATTCTGTTTATTTTTGTTGATTTTTATAAAATTATTACTGAGGAAAAGTGATCTGATAGGTACATTGCCGTCCACTCATAAGTACAATCATAAGATGTATCTGTGGACAAATTTAGTATTTAAAAATAATGTGTATTAGTGTAATAGTTTTAATTAATAAAAAACTTAAGACTGTTAATTCTTAAGCGTTAACTATTCCTGTAACAACATTTGTGATAATTTACGGGTAGTAAATGGAAATTAAGTAATTAAACCTTATTTTCGTTAAAAATTCGGCGAATTCCCATAGGTAAATCACTTATCCCTACTCTTTATACGCGTATGGTTAAATTTTGTCAATTAACTCCATAAATTTCTACTATTGTATATATAAAATAGGAGATATATAATATATATAAAATGGACAAGGAGTACCAAAATACGGTACTCCTTATCTATTTTTATATAACATAAAAATGAAATGTATCTATACATTTTTAAAGATTACGACTTGCTCAAAAACAGACCACAATTAAAGATTATTTAGTTAACTCAATTAGTCATTAGTTTGTAAAATATGTCAACGTTAAAAAAAAATGTTATATTTAACATAAACACAAATATACTGAATTATCTTTACGAAATGCTTATGAATATTTTCTATACAATCCAGTAATTTGAACATTTACTGAGATTGTACTGCATTCTCCTAGAGAAAATTTAAATATGTTAAAATAGAATTAGAAATATTAAAATCATAAATATAGAATTACACTGTAAATAAATGAATTATATTATAATTTTACATTGTAGCCGTTTTATTATTTATAAGTAACACTTATGACTCTTATGTTATCCCACATACTGTGACTCCACAAAATATTCGTACGATCGCAATTACTATATTATTTTTTGTTAACAATTAATAAAACTTGTATTTACACTATACATTATTTTTATAGCTTAGTTACAAAAATAAAAAAAAAATCATGAACGTGTAAAAATTTGGCACCATAAAGTATTCGTATGCTCCACTACCTTACTCCGCTAATCCCGATGCGTCACATACAAAGCAGTGCGTGTCGCGACACGACTAAGTCTTTAATCGCAGTTTCTACGTGAAAGTATTTATAATGGCGAAAACCATGGGAGAGATGGGAAAAAACATAGGAGGTAATAGTTATGAAAAGATTGCAAAAATGCTTTATAAAAGTACAATACGTTATACAAAAATGGAAAAAATTTGGTACAACTAGTAATACACCAAGAAAAGGTCGTCTGAATGTTTTGAGTACCCGAGATGAGCGACACATTCTGCAAGAAGTAAGAGCCAATCCTTTTATATCCGCACAAAAAATTGCAACAGACCTCGCAAAATTAAGAGGAAAGTTTCGGTACAGAGGCAGTAAGGAAAGGTGGATGTCACGGACGAACTGCATTAAAAAACCGTATATCAGTGAAGTTAACAGAAAAAAAAAGATTGAATTTTGCTGAAGAATATCTCAGTAAGCCATCGGAATTCTGGAAATCTGTTATTTTCTCAGGTGAGAGCATGTTTCAAATCCACGGTTCAAGTGGCAAAAGAACAGTTTGAAGAATAAAGATATAGCGCTTTCAAAAGAAACTGTTATTCCAACTGATTAACATAATATAACTGAAAAAATGTAATTACAGAACTGGCTCGCTCGTGATAGCTACCCAATCAGCTGAGAACTCCACCCCAGTCACCCGATTTGAATCCCATAGAAAACCTGTGATCATTTCTTGACAAGAAAATTAGAATATTCAAATTATCAACTAAAAATGAAATGAAACTACACTTGGAAACAATGGTTTACTGTATCCAGTAAATATTTACAAAATTTAATTCCGAGGTGAACTTAATACAATGACTGGATTAACGAATACTTTGTGGAGTCACTGTATATCACTATTACTGGGTACTTAAGGTTACTAGTTACTAAAAATTAAAAAAATATTAATAAAATATTAATATTTTTTTAATTTTTAGTAACTTATTTTACATTCTAAAATAATTACTAATAAGATCAGTTCTTTAACCCTGATACGTAAAACTATGCCTAGAGCAGCAATTTTGAACTATCTTCATTGCCAATGAACAAGCAAAGGTTTCCAATTGTAAAGATAAATTGTATAAAATCAGACCTTTCATTGATGCACTAAATAAATTGAGTGTAGATGTGTCTATGGCCAAATTAAAAACAGGTCGATAATGAAACCATATCTCCCTATGAAATCGAAAAAAGAGGATACAAGCTATGCTGCCTCTCTGACCAATTCGGTTTTATTAAAACTTTACAATTTACCAAGGAAAAAAATAAGAAATACAGTGGACCCCCGATAATCCGGCCCCTGTCTAATCCGGCGCCCCCTGTAATCCGACATGACAGAATTATGTTTGACAATCTTTGCTGATCACGCAAGTTTGAACAGGTCACAACTCGTACGCGCCACCGCTATTGTGCTCGACGCATATGCATTGTTTTACTTAGTTTGAATTTGACTACTAGTGATAGCGATACGGCCTAGCGTACGTTCATTGTTTACTATTTATTCATTGTGTATTAAGTATATGTAGTACCTAGTAATGTCGTCACAAACCCAGAAGCGAAAGCACAAAACGTTGACAATTAAAGAAAAATGTGATATTTTAGATCGCTTAAATCGCAATGAAACTTTCAGTAGTTTAGCAAGTGAATACGGCGTAGGCCGATCTACAATTTATGACATTAAAAAAAACCACGAGAAGATTAAGAAGTTCGTGTCAACTACTGACTTCTGTCCAGGCAAGAGACAGACACTCAAGAAAGCTGAACATCCAGAAGTGGAAGAAGCTTTGTACATGTGGTTTCTTCAGGAAAGAAACAGGCATGCACCAATTTCGGGACCCATGTTGGCGATGAAAGCTAAGTTTTTTTATAAGGAAATAACAAAAAAAGATGATTTTATGGCCAGCAAAGGATGGCTAGAACGTTTTAAAAGTCGTCATGGCATACGTTTAATGACTATTACAGGAGAGAAACTTTCTAACGAAGCCCTTTAAATTAAGATTTTTGCAAAAGGTGAACGATTTTAATCTTGACCCGTCACAGGTGTATAATGCAGACGAATCAGGGCTTTTTTGGCGTGTGATGCCTAACAAAACTTTCGTTTCTTGTAACGAAAAAGACGTACCTGGACGAAAAGTGAGTAAAGAGCGTGTAACCATACTACCATGTGCTAATGCTGCAGGTACACACGCGCTTAAGATGGTGGTCATTGGGAAATCTAATAAACCAAGGGCATTCAAAAACATTGATTTACCTGTACACTATTACGGACAAAAAAGTGCATGGATGACAAAAGACCTTTTCAAAAAGTGGTTTGATGAATGCTTCGTACCTGAAGTTAGAAAATGGTTAAAAGATCATAATTTTCCTCAAAAAGCGTTGTTGCTTCTTGATAACGCTCCCGGTCATCCGTCTGAAGAAGAACTGACAACTGAGGATAAATGCATCACTGCGATGTTTCTTCCGCCAAATTGCACTGCACTGATTCAACCAATGGACCAGAACATCATTCAGTTTGTTAAGCAAGACTATAAAAAAAACCTACTTTTGAGAGCCGTATCAAAAGACCAACCAATAGAAAAAACTTTAAAAGAATTTAATATGAAAGACTTGGTTTTGCTCTTAGTCAGTCGTGGAGTGCGTTACCGTCATCAACTATTAAATCGTCTTGGAAAAAGTTATGGCCAGATATAATCACCACTCCTAGCAACGATCCACAAATCAGTGTAACTTCGGAAGTTATAGAACAAGTCTCTACTGAAACACAGATAAGTCCGGAAGATTTGGAAGTCTGGTACCGTGGAATGGATAAAGAAGAAAATGTTTTTCTTGAAATGTCTGACAAAGATATTATAAAAGAGGTTTCTAATAATACAACAAACGATCAGGAAGATAACGACGACGTGATTGCAACTGCTCCACAAGTCACAGATCAAGACGCAGTTAACGCTTTTGAGCTAGGTTTACAATGGGCTGAAGAGAATGGTACATCCTACAACGAACTTTTACTTTTGAGAAGACTGAGGGACAAAGCTCTGATCTCGCGTTATAACAACCTTAAACAAAAAAAAATTGATGAATATGTATTTCAAAGCTTCATAATTTGATATAGTATTCACTACATGATTTTGATTAATAATTCTTGATTATTTTGGTAGATATGTATGTGCATTTATGCTTAATTTTATAATAAAACGTAAGCTCTCAATTGTTATTTAATTTACTAAATTCGACTTACATAAATTAAGTCTGATTTGTACTTCAAAGTACATACATATGTACGTATAATATAGTATAGACTCTCGTCATTAGATATGTAATTTGTCGGATTACAAGGTACTCTTTCGTAAAAAAATCCGGACTATAGGGGTCTTAGGCAGTGGTCTATAATCCGACAAATTCGATAGTCCGACACTGCCCTGCATAATGTTTGCCGGATTACCGGGGGTCCACTGTAGCTGAATAATTTGCAGATATTCACAGGGTGAAAAAGTTGTCCTAGATTTAACAGAAAAAGAATAGGGTAAACAGAAAGTTATTGGATAATTTTTTTACATCTATTTATTAGAAAAATTGAAAACAGAAGTAACTTATGCCTGTGGAACTATAAGGTCTAACCATAAAGACAATCCCAATAATCTGGTATTTGCCTCTTAAACTAAATTGTGGTCAATGTGATTATATATTTTCTAATTTGAATACAACCAACCCTCCTATAATGCAGAACTCTCAGAATGCGGTTTCCATATAATGCAAAGCTGAAATTGCGACAGCCCTCCTATAATGTGGTACATGGTTTCCGTTTAACAGCATCCCATAAGTTCCTTCCGCGCAGCCTTTGAAAGGCTCTAGTAACAAGATATGTTTATATAAACATGCCGGCTTATCTCAAGCCATCTACGACATCAGTTTCAGTCAGTCGACATCGGTTCACAGTACACACTGTGAACGAACTTTGAGACGCTTTGTTGGCGACCAAGTCTTACTAAAAAATTTTCTGCACCGTCCGTTCATTCAGCTTTTTGCTGCTTAATTTGTTTATAATTGGATAACATTACACAATACTATAAGCAATATTCTTCATTTGTTCTAATATAATAATAATAGAGTAATTATTAACCCTTGATTTGTATCATGTCAAACACAAAAGAAACAAGGAATGAATTAAAAGTGTGTAGTGCTAATGGATTGCCATGCGTGTTTAGCAGCAGCGCTTCATACATCCGTGGTGAATGTGAGCCTTAAGGTTGGTGGAGTTTCAATTACTCACTAATTTGGATGAGGATTATCTAGATACACTCATTCAATTCATATTTACAGTCCACATATCCATTCGAACTAGTGACCTTTAACTACCTCAGTGCAACAATCACACAAAATTCATTTGATTACAACATTTAGAAATAGACTTGTATCATACCTACCCAACACAACAACAGGTGAAATCAAATTTATAAAAATATCATACATAATTGCAAAAAAAAATAAAAAAAAATATCAACACAGGACAAGACAAAGAAAAAAAAACAATTCTCTTTATCCCTAAGGGATAGTCACTGTCACCCTGTTTGAAGTTATGAAACAGCTCCAGAGCTATCCAGTAAATAAAACCAAAAGCTGGAATGTAAAATATTTTCTTATAGTTGACAATATTTATATTACTTTAATTTTCCATCGACTTTCAGACGATCTAGGACAATTATATTCGCATCGCTATTTGCCTTTCATCATTGGTTTCGATTAGCTTTAACTTAATTTTCAACCTAAGTATATTTTAAAATGTTCACATTGTCCAGTCGTAGGAAGGCTTGCCAGAAGGCAGATGAACAATATAAATTAAATGTTGACATTATTTCAAACACAATACTAGTTTTGACTGAACCAATCACTGAATATGTCGAAAGACAATTTAAAAACCACAAACAATTTAACCTTACTATTACAACACGACTATATTTCAAAGACAAAATAAAATAATTTTAGCCACCATTTTGTTGAATTTATTTCGCTTGGGGGAACATTACACAACAAAGCAGATCCGATTACATTAATTTACATATTTTGAATTTATCTGACGATCATGACATTAACAAAGAAACAAGGGCGAAATGAATGAAAATATAAAAGTTTTAATTCTTGTTTCCACATGTAAACACTAGAATTTTACAGTTAGAGAAAAAACAAAAGACGATACAAAACTATACAGACGACTGAAAAAAAGGTGATTGTCTGGTCTGGAACGATTATTCTAAGAATCGATTTCATTGACAATAATAGTGTTTTTTATCGATTCATAGGTCTAACCAATTAATCGTTAAATTTTTCTTTCTGTAAAATCATGATTCTTATTTTGCGTCAATAAAAATTATAATACTACTTACAATTACTTAATTGTACTCAAACACATGTAAATTTACAACAACTAATACATTTATGATATAAATGGGGTCCATTTTGAGGTACCATTCTCTATTTTTAAATTGTGTAACTTTTTTTGTAATTAATTATTAATATATATATATATATATATATATATATATATATATATATATATATATATATATATATATATATATATATATATATATATATATATATATATATATATATATTACAAAAAAGTAGTCTATAGCACTCAGGGTTAAAATACTTTTGTAACAATGAAAGAATTTTTAAAATCAAATTAATAGTACTGGAGATTAACCCTAACATCCACACTCACAAATTTTACCTCTTTATAGTATAAGTATAGAAATTTTTGATAGTTACATCCAACCTATATTTTTGTTATATAATATTTTTTATTAAAAAGCATAAAATACTCGTTGTATGGTGCCAGTTATATGATGCTTTTTATTACTTAATTTAATATTTATTAAAAAAAACTTGACAAATTATCTAATTAAGATTCAATTTTATGTGAATTGATTTATGAGTGAGAAAATTCGATAAGAATTTAAAAAAATGGTCTTTTTGTAATGTTCATCCCTAATTATCATTATTCAGTCAGTCACCTATAAGTCAATCACCGTTGTCAATCAACTTGAACATAGACTAAGGATACCTAACCAAAGATATCTAAGAACAAGGAATTAAAGATACTAAATTAAATGACACGGTAATTTAGATTCTTAAAATTTTACTCTAGGTTATATATTCTTTGCTAAGCATTTGCTTCTTTCATGATTGCATTGCCTGTTTGCCAAAATCTAATATAACCTTAATTACTTCCACGAATTGTACAAAAGGCAGATGCGTTTTTTCCTTTTTCACATTCTTCTTTAAATTGGTAACTTCATAACGCAACGAGCAATACACTATATGAATTTTTGCGTTCCATTTATTCCAATATCTGCTGGTACACTCGAGTATATACCTACTATTTTTTTTAGGTGATAATGAAATTATAACCCCGCCTACGCTATCGGTATACACTGGCGCGGGGGATTAACCACGATAGTTTCCAGTTAGAACCGCGTGGAGGTTGACTTAATAAGGTTCTATAACTAGTACTAGGAAAATTAGACCCCATTACTAACAATCCCTTTGCCCCTCTACCTACCATTATTATGTCTATGGTGTGAACAGGTCTGTATAATAAAAAAACGTTGCAGTTTTTAAAAATCATCTATAATTATTTATTAAAACATAGCTTATTGCCAATTAAAGTAGATCTTAAAATCAGGACGGAGATTGTTTAATAAAATATAGAAACCCAGCGAAAAAAATTACAATGAAGTAAATTATTTGTAACAAAGGGATACGTGAACAGTTTTAACTATTTGAATTAAACACATACATAGTTGCTCGTAGGACAGAGATGAAGCTGTTCCATCTTTAGAGTTTTACACTCAGCAATAGATGTGTGGTTGACTAAGAGCTTGACTGTGCACTGAGACAAGCATAATAATAAGATGGTAATCTTACTACAGCAATATACGTTGTCGTCATATTATATACTGGACTGGTGTAATAGTGGTAACTATTACACCAGTCCAGTATATAATATGACGACAACGTATATTGCTGTAGTGGTTATTTCAAGCCATCCAAACTGAAAAATTCTGTTAATGATGTGAAAAGAGAATGAATAAATGATTTGATGTAACGTACTTCGAAAACATTGCAAAGAGAATATATTAGGAAGTAATTAAGCAAATAAAGATTGTAAAATGAAATACAAAATTGATAAGTAAATACCAATAAATTTGAACTTGTATTAAGTCACATTTTTCTTTTGACGAATTTCTAGATTGCTATAAGGATGAAGGCTATTCACAGGTCCGTCTTAAGTCGAGGATACAAGGGTAGCACTGGGGTGCTCTTATTTGACTTGTGGGTACTTGACAGAAAAAGGATGGGCGTATCGCGAAGCTGTGAAGTGATTTTTGAATTTGGCCTAAAATATTTTTAAAACGGCCCTGGCTACCCCTCTTCTCGCTTAGATTTTATTGAATCACAACAATAAATATTTAGGTTGAAGTGATACTCTTGAATTCATTAATTATACCAAGTATGTCGGCGCATAAATGGGTGGAATTCTTATCTTCTGAAGTCAGGATTCTCTGGAAAAAGATATTGCAGCGAGAGTGTGTTTCGCTTACTTGCAAGTGTGTTGCATGTGTTCAAATCCGTAGAATAATATCTTTTAAATGTTTGTTAAACGAGAAAAGTTTTTGATAATGTCTGCAATTTACTCGGGATCTGATAGAATTATTTTTCGACATTGCCGCATTCAAAAAGGAATGTATATGAGTATCATTTCCACCTTGTTTATTTATTCTAAAACTAAAACTATAGACAAAATGTTTGCACAGTAGACATTATGGTACACAAAACTGCAATTCCGTAAAAATAATTAGGTAATGAAATTATACTCAAATTATTTATATTGTATCTTTAAGGAGCTGGCAATATTTATATTTTGTTGATCCCTAGAGATGTTATTCTTATGTCCAATTGTTACAATACAATTAATAAGTCATGAAATAGATTAATTTACTACATAGTTAGATAATAGGCAATAAATAGTAATAGTAGAATTATAGTAGTGTTTCTTCATAAATATATCAGTGAAAGAATAAATTTAATAATATATGCATAATAACAGAGAAATTTCTAACAGCAATTACGAATTATACAGTTTTATAACATTTTTTTTTCAATCTTAAATTATTAATATTTATAACATTAAGTAGTAATTTAAATCTAACTTTAAGACCAGAGTTTGGACGGAAAAATAATAATTATCTTATTTTATTATACATTTTAACATAAATAATTTAATTTTTTACTCTGTTGGGTAAAATTATATAAAACGTGGGGAAAGGCATAGGTTAAGGCACGTTCTACATTGGGAAGGTAAGGCACCTTTCTTTGTATAAGACACTGTGTTTATTTAATACAAAGTGATTAGTGTATGATTTTTATGATTAATATTTTAACCTTTCGACCTCTTGACTTCATAGCAGCTGTCGTGACGCTAGTGAATGATTTAAATCGGCGACTTTATGTTGTACTACGTGTTTTAAATATTTCTATACACGATAAATAATTTTGAAATATTACAAATTGTTGTTCTATATTCCGTTTCTATTTAATTACTATGTCAATACAGTAGACAGATAAATAAAGGGGGGAAGATACAAACAGATTCTATGTAGGATAAATCCAGTAGAGGGCGATATGGACACGACAATCCCAATGGAGAGTTTAAAAGGTAATTAACAAAATTATTGGATGGAGACAAGACAGATATTAAGTGTCAATTGCATAAGCTTTAAGTGTTATTCTCCATCTTAAGGCATCTAGGTAGTAACAATACGTCTACATTGGACTATGTATATATAACTTAACATCAGAAGATTCTTTTTACATTGTGCCTTATATATAATTACTCTATTACACACAGATATTAAATTATATAGATAAAGCAAGTTTACCGAAACAAGCTGTCTACATTGCTACATGTATCTAGTTATGGACTTAGTTTTTTTTTAAGAATTCGATTGATAATTTTTAAAAGAGAATGAAAAGTAATTTTTTTATGTTTAAAAGATGAGCGGTATATAATAATGACAGAACGGACTGTGTTGCTAAAAACAAGTTTTATAAACAGATTTAGAACTCTGAAAACGTAATAAAAAAAAATTACTAATAATTGGAAAATAATTTTTGATTTTTACTTCAATTTTTTCTTCATGTGAACAATTTAATAGGAGTGGATAAAAAATATTATTTTGTGTACCTATTAATTTATATAGCATGAGATCAATTTGCGTTATCTATTGAGCTTAATATCTGTGGTCATAATCATAATGTTTGTTTCTAACATGTCTTTTTTTTATTTAATTAATAGGTAATTAATTATTCAGGAAAAATAAGTATCACGAATGCATTCATATGTTGTTAAGTTATAAATGATGTACATACATAATAGCTTAAAGCTAAACATCTGTCGATTCAATCAATCGACTTACAAGATCGTAAAAACTGTTGATAAAGGAACCAAGCTGCTTGGTACGTGTGTTTTCTGCTTTATCCCAAGAGAAATAGAAATCATTATCGTTTAAGATAGTGTTTTTACCATTGAAACTGAATATTTTCCATAGAGACATTTTAAGACTTCCATACTATCTTAATTTCGAAGCCAGGACCCCTCTGTCAAGAGTGTACAACTAAAGAGGGACCTTTTATGCAACTTAGAAACAAAACAAACTGACGGCCCATCTGATAGAAAGTGGCAACTGTCGCTTATAGACATGAACATTACCTTAGACATAATATACTATGTCACTCATAATACTCCCCATGCATTGCCATCCCTAAAAAGTAAGGTGTTAATATATCTGTACTTTGTAATTTCATTGCCATATCCCACCATTTAAACCAAAACACAGCTATGCAAACACAATTGCTTTACGGTAGATATACAAATGGGACAGAGGTACACAAGAAGATGATTTTTGTACAATCACTCTCTTGTATTTGTGTTGAAAAATGAGAAAATAATTTGAGCCTCCCATATTAACACAGCATTAATCTAGCGGTTACCACTCATCAGGTAAGCCGTCAGCTTATTTGCCATTCTAAGTTGCATAAACAAAAAGTTTTTTTGGTGAAAAATTCAGTTTAACTGATAGAAAACTCCCATAAACGAATGCAAATTATTTCGTTTTCACGACGTGTATAAATATAAAGGATTTTATATTTATATCGATATGTCTCAAATAAAATTCAAGAGAAATTAATGATAAAATCAATCATGTAAATTAAATTGATAAAATAAATACATCTAAAATGATCCTCTGAGCGTGGTGGGTTCTGTTTTAAATACTTACATGTATTTACAATACTTTATCTAATAGAATAAAAATAATATCATAATGATCTATCCACTATAATATTGCAATTAATTCCTATACTAAATTGTAAATATAATAATAAGTATATAAATTGCAAGGAAAATACACAACAAGCTGTATATAACAATGAAATAAAAAGTAATGTCCTCTTATTTATACACAACACTTTGTGCTGACTTATATACACGTGGTAAATATGTATAAAAGAACTTTGTTCAAATCGAAATATACATATTATGTGGGTAGTAACATTATACAATTTGTAAATAATGACAAAACCGTACCAGGGAAATATAAACACTGCAGTGGATGCACTATTTCGAGCTTACTATCAGGTGATCCATATGTTTAATTACATTAAGTTTTCACATCTGAATTACATATTGTTTTAAAAAACTATTAAGATTTTTTTTTTAAATGACAATTAATTCAGAATTTATATTCAATAAAAATGCACAAAATTTTTTTAATGAGAGTTTGGCTTGTAAGCTTGCCTTTCAGCCATTACATATTTATCATAAGTGATACAGTAATAATAATGATGCCAACATAACAAAAACACTGTAGTGTTGCCAGTAATATAAATTATCTCTGAAAGTATCCGCAATATGGTGAGGGCTTATATTTTCCTGGTCGGACTTCAAAAGTAAAATTCTCTAATAAATCTATAACTAATAATAAGTTTTTTTTTTTCTTAATAATTAATGATATTTTAACGTGCCATTTATGTCACATCAGTGGCATTTTAGTTATGTCACATAATGCATTTGTCGGTAAAACTTGGGTTGTATAATTATATTTATATATTTATTGTTTTTTCATACGAGAATTTTTTAATGGTAATTGTTTCTTAATAAATTTTTAATAAAATAAATAGTTTAATTTTTAAATATTCCATATACAACTTGATATAACTTTAGTAATTATATTTTATAATAAAATAAAATGCAAAAATATAAATGTAAATTATCATTTTTTCTTACACATTTCATGTATGTATGTATATAGTTAAAGCCAATAATAATAAAGTATCACTAAAAGATTCTCGCATCAGCGCTTATGAGATTCAGCGAATAATTTAAAAGGAAATTATGACGGTTATGACGTATGACATTATTTAAAATACTGTTATGTTCCATCTATTTTTATCGTATTTTTTTTTTTTTGTATAAGTACTCGCTTCCAATTTTCATAATGAATGAATGACGTGTCAACTCCAGTCGCATTTTACAAAAAAAAAAAAAGTCGAACCATATTAGGTACAGAGTATTTTAAATAATATCATAATACAATAGATATAATAAAAAACTATCAAAATGTCACAATAACGGTGAATTATAGAAAATTACGTATTATTTTGTCACTTGTAACGTTCAACCTCTGATATGACCCCGTATTCCACAACCCATATAAATATGTTAAGGTCCATAACCGACACGCTCTACTACTGTAACCTACAAATTATACCTCAGTACTGTGCGTTTGTATGCGCACCTTCTTCTGACTTCCATTACGGTTTAGAGGCGGCGAGTGACCTGAATACCCTGGGTTCTGTATGCCCAACCCGCCCGGCTCTCCTTCCCGGGGCCTGGGCTTCTTTAGCGAAGACCGAAGAGGAGATCTGGTTATCGTACTGGCGTCTGACAACCCTGTCAGGGTTGTCGCGGTGGTGTTTACCGAGCCCACGCTACCGTGGCCGTTCGTGCTGTAAGGTTTCCCTGACGCGTCCGTCATTGAGATTCCTGGAATTACGTCATTGTAAACATTATAATCTGAATGATTTTGAAGGTATTAAATGAAGTCATAGTGTTGAGAATGACCCATTCAAACAAAGATGATTCAATTATTTGTGTATATTGATAACAAAGTATTATGTCACCTCTTAGTAGGGGTAGGTAATACATATATAGCAATATTAAAAAAAAACGTTCACACTCACTTTTTTCTTTTATCCGAGCAGTAAAAGCTTTGTATTATTCTCAATTTCGTGTATAATATAGTATATGTCATATATGTGTAAGTATATTTGTTATTCATATATATTTATTCGTTTATATATGTAATTTTAGTATATATGTATATCAATAATTACTAGTATACCGCATTCGAGTATTCTGACACTTCCCTATGGTTGACAGGAAGAGAATGCTTTTAGCATTAAGTCCGCCATGTACACATATTTGTACTGATGAATAAATAAATAAATAAATATCTATATATATTTTAGTTACAATATCCATATATTGGTATATAACGAATATGTCTGTTATTATTAAAAAATAATATTAGATAACAGACTTTAAATATATTCGAAAACAGATATCGGACCGATATAGGTGATATCGAAATGGGTACTTTTTTTTTTTTTTTTTTTGATGGGTGAAAATGGTATGGTAACCCCGCCTGCGCTAATGGAATACGCTGGCGGAGCACCAGTGAAGGGTGATAGATGAGAATGAAAACAGGTCAGTTAGCCCATCATGATAAATTCATCAGGAATTAACCATGATAGTTTCCAAGGGGAACCGCTAGGAGGTCGACCTGGTTAGGTATATTGCTAGCAATAGGATACTCAGTCTCCATTACTAACAATCCCTTTCCCCCCTATATCGAAATGGGTAATGATCATCAATGTCTAGAGGAACCCAGTAGGTATATAGATATCGGGTCGGTATCCATATCACCCATGTCTACCTCTGAGATTAATATAATACTTTTATTTTTATCTAAATTTTGAAACTTTGTACATAAGTTATCTTATTTTTATTATATTCAGAACGGCAAACAAGCTAATGGCACATCTGATGGGAAGTGTTGACAGTACCATGGATATCAGGAATATACTACTATGGGCATGGTACACCTCATGCATTGCCGATTCTGAGTGGCGACCCCGTACGGGCAAACGCAGTATAGGACAATCCCCTCCCACTAGATGGAGTGACGACCTCAAATGCATTGCAGGCAGTTCGTGGGTACAGGTGGCTCAGGAGCGTTCCTTATGGCAGTCTATGGGGGAGCAGTGGACAAATAATGGCTGAGATGATAATAATGATGAAACCGTCACCACCATTGAAACCAAAACCGCCATGCCAGCACAGCTGCTTCTCGATAGAAACATGAACGGGAAAGAGGTATATCTGCAAACTTCTTTTGCACATTCTTTCTATATCTGATCTACTCGCATGGCTGAGTTTAAGCATAGACTTGTATAACCAAGTTCTTGTACAGTTTTAGGGATGGTTTGTCAATGATTTTAATGTTGATCCAACGAGCCTACCGATCGTTGAATGCCTGATCGTGTGGTCAATGAAAAGTGTAGATGCCTGTCCCTGGTTCGATTATCGGTCGGGGTAATTTAGATAACGAACTTCGCTTAACTAGCTCGGGTCTGGGTGTTCTGGATACCTCAGAGATAACGAAACTTTTTTTTCACAGGGGGCAAACGAGCATGCAGCTCACCTTATGGTCTGATCACCCGCAACACTAGAGGCATCGCAGGGGTGCTGCCAGCCTTTTAAAAAGGAATATACTCTTTTCTCTGGAGGAGGCTTTGGTTTTTTATAATACAGGGTAACCTAGCATGAGGAGCAGGCGAATGGTGTGATTGTGTAGCACTTTTTATTTACCTCTGCCCTCCTTAAATCCAGGATTGTTGATGGTGGTGCCGTCTGGTGGGTCACCAGCGTTGGTGGGGTCGCCGCCGACTCGCCGCGAGAACAACGCGTCGTACAGCGACATTATGAACAGTATTGCATTTATAACAATGCATACTATCTGTAATCACAACATGTGGCTAATGAATCATCACATCAGTCGATAACTGCCCATTGATGGACATAGACCTTTCCCATATAGGAGTTTCGCCAATTGCTGTATTTAATAAATACTACAAACTATTAAATTCCAGGCAAAAAAACAAACAAAACTATTGATTGAGGGGGAGGGATTGTTAATAATGGAGACTAAGGGTCCCATTGCAAGATATATACCCAATCAGGTCGACATCCACGTGGTCCTCCCTGGAAACCATCGAGCTGTATTCTAGGTGTATTCATCATGATGGACTAACTGACTTGTCTTTCATACCTCACTGGTGCCCCACTCGCGTATATCGTTAGTCCAGGCAGGGTTATCATTCCATTGTCACCCATTAAAAAAAATCCTATCGATAGAATCGTTATCGAGTTCATATGTTGGAATGAGATGGAGACATACGCAGTATTTTTTCTCATGTAACGACTGACCGAAGCAATTTTATAGATAGATTCGTTTTTCCCTTGTCTAGGGAAAAAAGCAAAAGGGACACGTTTACCTCATTTAAAAATAATTTTATAACAAATACATACCAAAAATCCAACTGCGCGATCATTTTGTGATCGATTGTTAATTGTCTATGGTTTGTAAACAGAATTAAACTTTACTTTTTAAATAGTTAAGCAGAGACAGCACCAACACTATCTTTATCACTGTTCGCTCGCTGATCGCTTTCAGGTAATAAAAACATACAAAACATTAAAGCTGGAAATAACGAGCAGCTTTCGAATAAGAAATAATTTTTAAGAACATACTTGTTTCATTTAAGTCTTAATTAAGCACATTAAACAATATAAAAAAAAAATATCGGGCGCGTAATGCTCCTGGTATTACAGGCGTTTATAGACTACAGTAACTGCTTACCATCAGGTGGGCCGTATGCCTGTTTGCCACCTCAGTGGTATAAAAAAAATATACATATGTTACCTGTACATAAAAAGCTTCTCCCCTGGTAAGGTAAAATCCCCTGTCATCGCCCTGCACAGCGAACAGGCCTGCTGCTGCTATAGACAGCAATGCTGGAAATATAAACAATATTTTTAGTAATTTAAGCTTAGAAAAGCAAGTCGTATTCCTGACATAAACCCTTTCCGTTCCCGTGGGTGTTGTAAGAAGTGGCTAAGGGGGGGCGAGGGATGGTCAGCAGCGTCCCTTTTAAAGCATCTTTAAAGCCTAACTGTGGTTGCCAATTCGCCTGCCAAACGTGGCAACTACTGGTAAAACCCCCCTTGTAGGCATCCATAGGCTACAGTGACCATTTACCATCAAACAGAGGGAGACTTTGTACAAAAGTTGATTGCTTGGGTACCTCTGTACCATTCGTGTTCCTACCGTGAAGCAGTTGTGTTTGCACGGCTGTGTTTCAGTTTGAAGGGTGAGATATATACATGAGCATGAATTTACAGGGTACAGAGGAATAACACCTGAGTCCTCAGGAATGGCAACGCATGAGGGGTATCATGGGCGAAACAGTATAATCTGTTATGTCCATGGTACTGCTCATATCTATAGACGACGGTTACCACTTTCCATCAGGTGGGTCGTCAGCTCGTTTGCCATGTTTGTGATGAAAAAAAATATATAAAAATATAAAAAGAATTCAATATATATATATATATATATATATATTGAATTCTTAATATTTAGTATATTCGTTATTGGGAATATATATAGATACTGTAACTATAATATATAGATATAGACCACACCTAGAGTGAAGTCAGTAGATTCGTAGATCTACTAGCGTCGTTCAATACACAGTGACAATTCTGCAGTTATGACGTAATGTCTAGTATAGGTGGTGACTGTTCCCGCAATATTAAATGTGACAGGTCCAAGGTAAAGTTGTCCAGTGTTACCTTGTTTATTAAATGAATAGAATAATCTTTATATTAACATCCATGAGATATTAGATTTTTTATGCAACTTAGAATGGCAAACAAGCTGACGGTCCACCTGATGGAAAGTGGTAGTCGTCGCCTATAGACATGAGCAGTACCATGGACATAACAGAGTATACTGTTTCGTCCATGATGCGTCCCCATGCGTTGCCATTCCTGAAGGCTCAGATGTTATTCCTCTGTACTCTGTAAATTCACTGTCATATCCCACCACCAAACCGAAACACAGCCATGAAAACAACTGCTTTATGGTAGAAACACGAATGGTACAGAGGTGCCCAAGTAAACGACTTTTGTACAAAGTCTCTCTCTTTTATTAAATATATCCTTCAAAAAGATTTATGGTATTTTATGTATTTTATAATGTGTAGTTTGTATTATTCTTTGTGTATACATATCTTATGTGTTTATACAATATATGCAAATCGTATGACTGCCTATTTTTATTTTTAAAATAACACAATTAACATGGAAAGGTGATGCTGGAAGAAATCTCTTATTAGAGATAAGCTCGCCTTTGTACATTATGTTTATAATGAATTGTGATTAACAGTATGTTTTGTGTACAATAAAGAATAAAGAAAAGAGAATTTTATGTTTTAATAATAATAATATATAAATATTTATGCTATTATAATAATAATAATAATAGCATAAATGGCGAACAAGCGGTTCGCCATTTATGCTATTAACAATAAAAAAAAAACCGGACAAGTGCGAGTGAAACTCGCATGGAAAGAGTTCTGTAAGTTGATTTATCCGCAAAGTCCGCAAGTTGTTTCAAAACCTGGCCCAAATTTATTTGTGATAATAAAAAAAAGTACGTATACGGTTGCAACGTTACAAATGCAAATAAATTTCATACTCAAAAATATGGAGAAATTTCTAATGAAAGTATGTATTAAATACGTTTCGAACATAAGGATGGGTAGGATGGTCGATTTTCACCTTATTTTCTTTGTCTTTTCATTTCATATATTTCTAATTTACTCTCACCCTTATCGGCGACGCAGGCGCCATCTAGCGATCACTATATTCGTAAAAAACCTTACCGGCCAACAAAGCGAGCGCCAACTTCATCATCACTAGGTGGGTGTACTTGAATCCGACACGTTCCTTCGACGAGATCATGGCTAGCTGCAGCACTGAAAGCACGCAGAACACACCCAACACCGTCACTCCTATCACGGCCACCACGCCCGCTATATACACGGCCGCTGTAATAGAGAAAACAATTTATATTACACGCTACAATATCTATGTATGTCTACAATATCTATGTATGCATTATCTTACTAATATAAATAATTAAAGATTTTTTGACTGAGGTGGCAAACAAGCATACGGCCCACCTGATGGTAAGTGGTTTTTTTACTAGGTGATAATGGAATGGTAACCCCGCCTGCGCTATCCGCATACACTGACAGGGCACCAGTGAGGGATAATAGGTGAGGATGAAGCAGGTTAGTTAGCCCATTGTGACGAATCTAACAGTAAATCAATCATGATGGTTTCTAGGGGGAACCACGAGGTTGACCTGACAGGGTATATTGCTAGCAATGGGGCTAATAATCCCCATTACTTACAATCGCTTCTCCCCCGGATGGTAAGCGGTTACCATACCGTAGATTATTATATCCTTTATTACACTTGAACTAAAGATACAGCGATTAGTTTAACAACTTGTTAACAAGGGTGGGCTTATCTCTGAAAGAGATCTCTTCCAGCCAACCCAGTGCAGTTAGAGAGAAAATAATTAATTGGCAGGTAATCTAGTGCAGGAAAGGTACAGATAAAAATAATGTATAATAAATAAAACAAACATACACAAATTGTAAAGTTTGAATCACACAAAAAAATACATTTGTGATAAAATTAGTTATAGTGATTTAAAAACTAAACCACTGAACCGATTTTAATAAATTTTTTACGAGACAAATCTGTAAGTATAGCCTTTCAGATAAAAAAAGAATATTTAAAATCGGTTAAAAACTGACGATGTTATGAGGTAACAAATTAATTATAAGGTAACATTATCATCCTTCAAATGAACTGAATAACGTATTTCTCTTTTGTTGGACATTTGGATAAAAAATCATTCAGGTTCAATACTGTTGTAGACAATTAGTATGTAGTTAATTTGTATGAAAATCCACTCCAACCGGCTATCACGTTCGCACGTTACTTTTTGATGGTGTATTTAATTATTAAAAACCACGTGAAAAGCATTAAAAATTTAAGTGTGAACAACAAGCGTCTTGTAATTCTTACGGTGTACATTTTTCATCGAAAGTCGAAGACAAAAAAATCGATGTCTCAGGTCTGATAAAAACTAACAATATTAAATAGAATCAAGTACCGTGTTTCATTATACACATACATATGTATATAATAAAACATCTGTTCCGTAAAAAAATAAGCAAAAGAAACTTCCATCATGACAAAACACACCCATACATACGACCATACACCAATACGCACGACGTCGCGACGTAATGAATGAAAGAAATAGTTTTATTCAAGTAAACTTAGATTTAAGCATTTTGATGTAGTAGTATGAGTATGTATGTATGAATATGTATGTAACATGAGATCCTATTAAAATTATAAATACGAAAGCTTGTAAGGACGAATGGATAAATGTTTGTTACTCTATCACGCAAACACTACTGGACGGATTTGAATGAAATTTGGTACTCGGGTAGTGCATATCCTAACTTAGAACATAGGATACTTTACACACTGATTTATGCGAGTGAAGTCGCGGGATACAGCAAGTTGCATATAATTGTATTTAAAACCTGGAATCGTGTCTGCATATAGATTGCTTTGAAAAAAACTGTGACTACAATCGTTAATAAATTAATTTGGGACTAACACAGGTAAAGACGTTGCAAAAATAAATATTAAAGCTGAATTAGGCGATATAATTATGTAACATGCCACAAAAATATAGATTAATTTAAAAATTCCTCCTCCTCTAGATTGTCGTTTAAAAAGCATTCATGTTTTCAAACATAACCACAGTACTTTCATAAGTTGCAAAATGGTTTTAAAATTATGTTTTGTGTGATCCGGTTTCTCGCCTATTTCTTTATACTCTTACACTTTTCTAAATTATGCGCTTTGTGCATGATTTGAAAAGAATAACTGTCGAATTTCTAAGTGGTCGAACGATCCGAACCACATTAGAATAGGTAGAATAAAAAAAAAAAAAAATCATTTACTTAAAAATTAAATCAATTTGAGTAAATATTTATACATGTTGAAATTGATTACATTTTCTTTTAAACTAGTAAACCATAAGTGTAACTGAATATTTTTCCTAACGGAAAATAGGTCATTAAACGACTGAAAAATTTTAACACCGAAATGTGGTCTAAGATAAAAAAAAAATATAATACACAAATAAAAAAAATATATCAGCTAATTTGACAATTAAGCGACACATTATTTTTAATAGTGTCTTATACACTTACGTATAAAATGTATCTTGACGTATTATTTAATAAATAAAATTAGTGTTTACGCATATAGGAATTATAAGACAAAATATAGAAATTATAAAGGAAACACTCATAATTATTTATCACGCAAAACTGTATGAAAATGTTGACCCGCTATTCTCGAAGTATTTCTATGTAGACATTCTATCTAATTAATCTAAGATTGTGGTATGCTCTGATCACGTGAATAATGTCGGCAGCACCAATAGTTTTCTTGTCCGGCCGTCCTCAAGTTTTAAATAAGTAGACATAAACAAACTCACCGTTAATACGTGCTTCACTTTTTTCCCAACAAAAAGTTATACAATTCGCCGGTTTTTCACAATTGTATCACAAACAATACCTTTCTAATTTCACTAGCGGAATTCACTTTTCACTGTGCTGTACTGTACTGAACTTTTGTAATTTCGCAAATTAGACACGTGAGTGACATAAAGGCGATGTCTGACTGAGCTGATTCACGCAACTTTCGTTTCAAACTGCCGTATACCTAACTCGGTAAATAGGTTCGAGTACGCTAAATGTATCGTCGCACTAGACAAAAATTACAGTTTCCAATATTGAAGATTGAATTGTGCTCATTGCTGCAAATTGTGCTCATTCATGTGATACTTTAGTCATTTACTAACATTGGCAATGTGTTTGGAGGGGGCTCTCAAATTGTTTATATCATTTCGTTAACTCTGATCGATTTTGATATTTTTCATCCGCCTTAAAAAAGAATACTTTTATAACTCCGTCAGTTGTAAACCGATTTGGAAAATTATTTTTTTTTATCTGGAAGGATATATTTACAGATCGGTCCCATAAGAATTATCAGAATCGATTCCGTACTTTGGTTTTTAGATCAAAACAACTGTTATATCGATTGAAGTTGCCATTTTGGAGCTATATTCGAACTTAGAGTAAAATATGTTACCATTTCTTTTCATCGGCAGAATGTCGTAAGAAGCCACTAAGAAAACAAAGCACCAAAGGTCAATAATATATATCAATACATATATATTGTAGCTACGGTATTTGTACGGAGAAATGAACGTAGATATGCGATTGTTGATATATATATATATATATATATATATATATATATATATATATATATATATATATATATATATATATATATATATATATATATATATCGTGGTGGTATCAATATTACTCATGCCTACTCATTCGTGTGGGTAGCCATAAATAGTGTATTAAAAGGCTATAAGAATGAACAAAGACCTATGTCCAGCAGATGAACGAAAAATATAAATATATACAGTATTAGTTGAATTGTTACTACTCTTGTCAGTCGGCTAACATACTAATATAATAACTAACATAATAGCTCAGTATTCAACAGAGTATGAAGTTCACAGTTTCAGTGGTGGAGTAATTAGGAGAACAATACTTGGATAGCTGCGTAGTTACATATTCGGGTCAAATTTCAAGGCTACCGCTTACATGTGCCAGGTCATTTGAAACCATTGAGGCTTGTCTGGTTAAGTAATGGTCACATTAAATGTTTTGTTTCAGCATTTAAACATCATAATATGAGGTAATATTATATGATTTTAATACAAATAATCCTTACTAATGTGTATTATAAATGTGAATGACAATTTGATACCTTGTGACGGTTTAACCAATCGTTATGATATTTTGGTATAACTAAACGTAGTATTTAAGATGGAGAGGTTAGACAATTAATTAATAAACTAATTTTAAACCGACTTCAAAAATAAGGAGGTTTTCAATTCGGTTGTATTTTTGTTACCTCATAACTCCGTCAGTTGTAAACCGATTTGGAACATTCTTTTTTATGTGAATGGTAAATATACTTACAGATTGGTCTCATAGAAGTTTTGTCAAAATCGCATAGTAAATCAAAATATCTGGGTTTGTAACAATTTAAGTAGTTTTTTTGTGCGACACAATCTTTAATTATTTTAGTCAATCAATAGCACTAGATATAGCTAATAGCTACTAAGCTATTAGCTACACCCCGGTTACGCGGACAAAGCTGCTGGTAAAAATAAGCATTATACAGCTCATGTGACAGTTTGTAAGACGTTGCATGCATATGTTTATTTTTAATGAAAATTTAACGGCTGAATGGATTTAGATAGAATTTTATATCAGAAATAAAGTCCATATAATACATATATAAAATACATAATAAATATCAATATATAAAATATAGTTTCTGTTGCGCAAAAACTATATTTTTGATTTTTGCGTAACGTGACATTTAATCCTTTATCTGTTAACAGTACAGCTATTTATGTCATCATTGCTATAAAATAAGACGCATACCCCACCATCACGGATACAAGACCTGCTCGATACAATAAGACAAAAGACAATGCATTATTTACAACAGACCCATCCATCACAATCAATTTTGCCTCGGTCGACGAACTTAATGCGCCGTGCAAAATTATTGAGAGGCAAAACATTTTGACACTAATGAGAATTGTACTACAGACGAAAAAAATGAAGAATTTTATGATATTTTTTTTTATAAATTGCGTTTCACAACGGCAGGGGGTACGAAGTTGTTGAGTTTGTCAACGTCTCCGTTGTAGGGAACAGTTATTGCAAATAAGCATTTGGCACCAAAACTTTTATGGAATGGTAACCGTTATTCGAAAAAAATTTCATTTATTGTTGCCAGTCGAGAATATATAACCTGAATGAAAAAGATACAATATCCATATAGA